ATTAGATATTCATTTACTGGCTGACCATAAAAACATAACCCACCCACTCAATACCTGATAACAGACACTACTCTGGCACTCAGGCAGGCAGGAGTTACGGAGCAAGTAGGTGGTTTAATGCAACGGAGAGAATTCTAGGGATGGAAGATAGTAGAGAAAGTTTGAATTTTATTGAAGAGCTAAGGTGATGTGAAAGGTTAAACTCCAAGAAGCGACATAGTTATAGATGTTGGGATAATTAACGTAGCTTGGACAATTCGCTGACGACTTTTGGGTAGCATGCTTAGATGGCTTCATAGTACCCCAGAGCTCTGCTCTCTTTTTTCAAATATGACAAATTGTTGTTTTGTAATGTATAAGTAAGTTAGTTACATCCACGTCTGATTTGGTCCGAATCTTCTTAGTTTTCTATAGTTATTCAGATATCGTGAGATGCGGTCGGGTACCATGTAGGTTTCAGAAAAACATTTTCTTTATCGTGCCAACGTTTCGATCTTTATTGAGNACACCCAGCATGTTGAAAGCAGTATTCAACTGGATGGAGAAAGAAATTATCCATCCCATACTGGTTGAATTCTCCAGGTGAAAAACGACCAAATCTTTTCAACATCTCAACCATGAAAATAATAAACTACCTCTCTCTCAGTAGACAGGAATACAATAAAATAATAAGCCTTGATACTCGGCTTTGCTCATTTAATTATCACCTGAAATATAATGGAAAAATATGGAAGATTGTTCTTATTCACTTTTTTGTCGTTTTCTACTATCCGGATTTCAAGCTTAAAGCCCATCATCATGTTGAATAAGTTACAAACACGTCTCTCGACATGAATTAATGAACCCGCTTATCCCACGCCAACCCAACGTTCCAATGAGAAGCTGATTTTTAATTCCGCTTAATTTTAACTCTCAACACATTGAAACATGGGTGGGGGATAGGCGGGTTCACTTTTCCAAAATAATTAGATAGAACTAGATTGGTTTAGGAAATTCGAAATATAAAAAATAAAAAAATAAACATATTCATAAATGCATAAATAATATGATAGATTTTGATTTACCTCCTATTTTAAATATGTATCTCATAAATATTTAACCTACAAATTAATAAAATAATTAGTTTAATTTTTATTATTAATTTATTCATATATTATTAATTTATGAATGTAACTTTAATTTTATTAATTAATTATTAAAAACATGTACAAATTAATCACTAATATAAAATTATTTTCTTATAGTATTTATTTAGAAATGATCTAGTTTTCTTCAGCAGGAACGAGAGTGTTGCTTCGATAATAGTCGTGTCGGGCGACTAAAAGTCGCTTCATGTTGCACCACTATCGCAATGCACCTTCTGCATCTTCAACCTGTTAGTACAGATTAAACAACATATTCACACCACTTTTCACATTTCTATTGTCACGAAACAGCCGAAAAATTGGAATATAACCTTTGACCGCCAACCATTAGGCTGGAAATGGTACAGCCAGTTAAGAACGGTAAACATAACATATGTTAGGTTACGTGGTCCGCTTCACCAATTGAATTCTTTTCGATTAACGAAGGTTTTGGTTGAGATAAAAAATTCAATGTCAGAAGCGGGATTCGAACCCATGACCTTCGGCTAGATACGCCGCTGCTCTACCACTGTCGTCGTTTAATCACCAATCGAAAATTGATATAGATTGACCACGAAACCTAATAAATTTAATAAGCAAAATAAAGTATACTTCACTGAAGCTCTCCGTCGCCATTTCATTTGTCGCCGAGAATCAAATAGATTACACGACATATGAAAAAGGGCAAAAAGGAGGGAAAATTCAAAAGGTGAGTTTGAGATGGGAAGTTAGTGTCCGAGTGGATCGAAGTCACGATAGCTCAAGTGGTAGAGCAGCGGCGTATCCAGCCGAAGGTCGTGGGTTCGAATCCAGCTTGTGACACTGACTTTTTTATCTCAACCAAAACTTTAATTAATTGAAAAGGTAAACTCAACGTCTAGGAAAATTAAAAAAAAACGGAACTCCTAAAAGAGTTCAACAAACCCAAAGGTAGTGCAGTTTTCAGTGTATGGTAATAAAGAAAGTTCAATTCCATAGTCCATCTTTTAAGTCGCAGTGGAAGAAATGTAGATTATAGACCTATTTACCTTAAGTGGAAAGAATTGGTAATCCTGAAATTCATTGTAGATGCTATGAACGAAAAATGGGCGTTTAGTGTGTTGAAGAAAATAATTATTATGCAATGCTTTGTTTCATTTTTGGTTTTTAACATACCTTTACATAATGCCTCGATTAATCAGTTACCCTCCAGGTAAATCCAGAAAAGGTCCTGGTGTTGTCCAGGTCGCGGAAATCCTAATCTCGCTGGTAAAGAGAAGGATAAATAGAGTGAATAGGTTTTGGTAATCTAGGTGAGAGAGTGAGAAACGATCGAGTGGGTGAGAGATGTAAGATAGTACTCCAACTGATAAGAGACTCAATCCCCAGGCCCTTCGGAGAAACACCTCCAGCCGGGTTTGCCCTGTGATTGGGAAACGGGCACCCGGGAGGGCCTCCGTTTGATTGGAATTTTGTTTACTTGATTCTTCCTTGTCTTTCTGCAAGACGGGCGCCCTGAAACGCACACGCCGACAATTCGTTTTCGTCTTGACATAGCAGAAACAAAAAAACTTTCTTTTTAGATAATATGTCAATCGTTATACCGATAAAATTTAAAAAGAAAAATGATAAAATTAGGCCAAAACCTTGAAAAATCATTTTATCTAGGGAACTTAATAATAACGTAATAAATGTATGTATAGTATAAAATAATAAATAAATAATAAATATGTCCTGTGTTAGGTTTTCACTAGGGGACTAACTATAATATCAATTCAAAGTAAATGAGAAAATACATAAAAAGGTGACAAATATCTTGCGTTCCTCCTCATATCGACGAATAAACTTACTATTTTCATTTTAAGATATCCCATATTGTGACGTTATTATCTTAGAGTATTCAAGTATTGAATAGAAATAATACTTTCAGATCAAAATGATGTTAAAAGTCGGCATGTTCATGTTTGTAATAAAATTCTCATATGGAAATGAGCCCTCCACAATACACACCCTGTTTATATCCCAGACTTTATAAACTTGTGTGTGGTGTTCAATGACCGTTAGCCAATGATTATTTGGAGATCGTGAGAAGAGGTCTGATGTGACGTAGGTTTTAGCAAAACATTTTCTTTATCGTGCCACCGTTTCGATCTTTATTTAGATCATCTTCATGGCTCAATAAAGATCAAAATGTTGGCACTATAAAGAAAACGTTTTTCTAAAATCTACATCACACCAGACCGCATCTCACCATCTCAATATTCTAAGTTCCTATAAGTTATTCAATCTTCAAATCATTTATCAGCCGGTTGTCGTTTTATTTTAATCCAATATCGGCAGCAACTGTTCTGTATTCTACCGGGTCAACAAGCTTTCATCAGCAATCAATGAATGATCCATTAAGGGAATGTATTGTGGAACGTTTGTTGTCGAGGTTGGCCGAGAGAAATATAATTTCCTGAAAGGGGTTGGCCCGTTCTTAGATGTAAGGACTAAAAACCGATTTGATCCAATACACTCATAGGCACTAGAAAGGTTTAAAGGAGAAGAATAAAAAGGCTTTCGTGAAATTATTAAACTGGTATTGTCCCGTCACGGCAGGAAATTCGAATTATAAACATGAAGCGCTTTTCCCAGCCCCGCGACATGCCGATCCGGAAAACGTATTAAAAGTTTGCCCATCACGCAGACTACACACGGCATGGATTCAGTTAAAATATATGCTCCTCGTCTTCCCGGAAAAAAGATACTCGAGCCGGAGCAGCGACCGTATATCTTCACCATATATTATCGGAGGGTGAGCTTCACGGTAATGGCTTTAAATAAAATAAAAGGCCTGTTAGATTCTCAGGTACAACAGCAATCCAAAAGTGCCTCTGAATAATGGACCGTGTTTCAAACTACTTTCCTTTAAGAATTAGTACCTGAATAAATGAGTCGTTAATTAAACAGCCCCCCAACCCTTAAAACTTAACTCAGGCTTTTATTGGATTTTATGTTTCAACTGTCTGATCGCCCACTTAAAACCGGTCAAGAAATTATCTTTATTTAATTAAAACATTCAAGTCAATATAAATTGTAAAAACAATTACTAAATAGTACTGACATTAATAGAACTTAACAGAAATAAACTGACAGACGTTAATTTGATAGACAAAAGTCGTGCAGGAAATTAATTCAACCATCAAATTTTAAAGTTAATTATTCACTTTTTCAACCTGTAACTTTTTAAACATTCAAATACATTTTAATTTAACACCATGAATTATATGATGGAACGATATTTTTAATACCACGTATTAGAGGTATTCACGATCTTTATGTTAACCCTGTTAAGTCGTGTTAGATCGAGAAAAATGATGACGTAGACTTGTAAAAAAATCGGCTAGTTAACATTGCGCAATCTAACAGGCCAGGGCCAATGTTAGATGTTAGGTCAAAAATGTAGTCACATTGCTATCCGCCAGGGCATGACCAACATGGCAGCCCTGAATGTAACAGCTGTTTTATTCTACACGTATTTTTATTCTTAAATACGCATTAATTAAATCAGACCAATACATTTGTTTTCTTACCTGTCCTTATACTCTCATTCATAATAGATACATCCCATATCCTATAAAGTTGTAGACTGTTAATAGTTATGTTATAGCCTGGGATAAGATCCCGAACTTAAATCGGATAAAATCCGTAAAGGTAAAAATTGAAGACACGTGGTAACCGACAACAACTTTATTCCGAAGAGAAAAAAATCATACAGGGTTACAATAAAAACTTCCTACTATCGATTTATCTTCATATCGATATCTATCTATTTGTTACAATATACAACATCTCCCCCTAATAATCAATTTTGTATATAATGTAATCTTTATATCCTGTCCACTTCACTCACTTTCACTCACTCGAGGGAGAATACCGCACTGCTGGTTTTAACTTCTCTCTTGGGCGAAGCAACCTTGGTGTTTTCATCATTAGTTCTGGTAGCCTCTCTGATGATGTTTCTTTATCCTCTGCCTCCTCAGTTTCTTGTTTGGTACTATTCTCCTCTGGGTTGTTGGTTACATCTTCTTCTGCACCTGACGGCCACCTTTCTTCATCTACCCTTTCTTTCTGAACGTCTTGTTGTTCTTTTTCATAATTTCTTGATGACCCTGGCCACAGTTGGTTTGTGTGGCGTTTCCAAATCTTTCCTTCTTCAGTCTTTACTAAAAACGTTTGGTTGCCTAATCTTTTTACAACTACTCCTTTAGTCCATTTAGGTTTTTGTTCTCTGAAATCCTTTGCCCAGATTTGATCTTCCTTATTCAGGATGAGATTTCTCCTACCAGAGTTTTTTATCATTTTTGCCTCATACTTAAATGTACCTTCTGATGAGGGAAGCATTTGAGTAAAAATTGTTCTTGGTTGTTTTTTTAGTAGCATACTTGCAGGTGTCTCCCCTGTTGCATAATGTTCCATATTACGATATTGGAACAGATAGAGGTCCACTGCAGTCTTCAAACTTATATTTTCTTTACTAGCTAACGTTTTCTGAATACACCGTTTCATGGTATTTACTGCGGATTCAGCTGCTCCATTTGTCTGAGGGTGAAAAGGAGCTCCACATAAATGGACGATTCCCAGACTGTCTAAAAATGAAGTAAATTCTTTCCCAGTGAAACACTTTGCTCCATCTATGGTAATTGCTCTTGGCAATCCAAACCTTGCAAATAATTCTTGCAGTTTTTCTATAACAACTGCTGCTGTCATTGACACTACAAAAAAATTCTCAATCCATTTTGATGTTGCATCCATTACCACTAGACAACAGTGGTTGCGGTTGATCGGTCCTAAAAAATCAACATGAAGTCTTGTCCAGGTTGTTGATGGCCATGACCATGGCTGAAGAATGGATTTTGGGGGGTTTTCTCTAAATCTGCAGCAAACTTCACAATCTTTTGATATATTTTCAATGTCGCTATCCAATGAAGGCCACCAGAAATATGAGCGAGCTAGACTCTTCATCTTTGTCGATCCAAAATGATTTGCATGAAGCTCTCGTAGAACTGTTTCTCGAAATTTCTGGGGGATGATCACACGGTAACCCCACATCAGACATCCTTTTTCCACAGTGAGTTCTTTATCTCGACGTATGAATGGTTCATACTTTATCTCTCTTGGTAATCGATAGCCTTGAACAACACTGTCAACCACTCTTGATAACTCTGGATCGTTTCTTGTCCCTTGTTTTATTTTCTTCCAATCTAATCTAAATGGCACTGTTTCTGCCACAAAATGAAAATAGTTCACTTCATCCAATGGATCTATCGCTGGTTGTTTACCCCAGTCTATACGAGATAGGTAGTATGCACAGTTGTCTTTTGATTTAACACATTTTATACTATAATTATAATTTGAAATGAGATATGCCCATCGTTGAAGTCGATTTGCCGCATAGACAGGGAGTTTTTTTCTTGCTCCAAAAATGTACATCAGTGGACGGTAATCCGTCACCAACTCAAATTCTTTACAGAACAGATAGTCCTTAAATTTTGTGCATCCAAAAATAATGGCATAAGCCTCTCGTTCGATCGATGGATACTTCTGTTGGGCTGAATTCAGCACTTGCGATGCATAGGCGATTGGCCGTTCCCCTTCAGGTAGTACATGGGACAAAACAGCTCCCACCGCTTTTGCTGAAGCATCCACTGTCAATCTCAATGGAAGCTTTTGATCGAAATGTGTAAGTACTGGGCGAGAGGTCAAAACCTGTTTTATCTTCTTAAAGGCTTGTTCACATTTCTCTGACCAGATCCATCTGTTATTTTGTTTTAGTAAGCTGTACAAAGGATGTAATATTTCAGCTGCTTTAGGTATAAATTTGATATAAAAAGTTACCATTCCTAGAAAAGATTTCAATGTTGTTACATCTTTTGGTCGGGGACTATTTCGGATGGCTTTGACATGCTGATCAGTGGTGTGCAACCCATTTTTATCTATGACATGTCCCAAATAGGTAATCGATGTTTGGGCAAAAACACATTTTGTGGGGTTTGCTCTTAGATTCGCTTTTTCTAATATTGATAATACCAACTTTAGTTTCTAATTGTGCTCCTGCCTTGTCCTACCAGTCACACAAATATCATCAAGCAGGGTGCCCACGCCTTTGATTCCAGTCAATAGTTTATCCATGATTCTCTGAAACACTGCTGGAGCTGTGGAAATCCCAAAGCACAGTCTTTTATATCTCAGCAACCCCATATGTGTGTTAATTGTTGTTATTTGTTTTGATTCTTCATCTAATTCCAATTGTTGATAGGCATTTCTTAGGTTTATTTTCGAAAAGCAAGTAGCTCCTCCAAAATTAGAGCACAGGTGATCAACTCTGGGTAGGGAGTTACCCGTTTCTTCCAAAAATGGATTCACTGTACAGCGGTAATCTCCGCAGACTCTAATGGTCCCATCTGGTTTCAGCACCGGAACTATTGGCGTTCCCCATGGGCTATGGTCTACTGGTTCCAAAATATCTTCTTTCACTAATCGTTTCAGTTCTTCCTCCACTTTTTCCTTCAATGCAATTGGTAAAGTTCTGGCCCTCAAAAAGACTGGTCTCACATTTTCTTTGACTTTTAAAGTGACTTTTTACCTGAGAAAACGCCTCCTTCTCTGGAAAACACAGAGGGAAATTCTGATAATATCTGCCTAATGTCCTCTGGGGCATCTGGACATATTTTCATCTCGTTATAGAAAATTTGACTAACTCCAGTTTGATTTAGTAGATTCAAGCCCTTTCTTCCAATCAGTGGAGGTCCTCCTTTATCTATAATGTAAAATTCCATTTTTCCATTGTATTTAGGACAATTTACTGGTATCAATGTTTTCCCGATGGGTCTGATCGGATGGCCCACATAATCCGTCAATCTAATATCATTTTCTCTAATTGGATATGACTGAAAATGGTTCATGTAATAGTTCTTAGAAATCACATTATAAATTGAACCTGTATCCAGTTCGAAAACATGTTTTTTATTTTCCACCATTAGTTCGATTTGAATAGGCTTAGGCTTATCGTTGTTGTTTTCCATTTGTATTGAAAAAAATGAATCACTTAGACAAACTTCATCTTCTTTTTCCTCTGGCAGAAATTTATGTTTAGAGACAACTTTCCTTTTGATCTTCCATTTACACATGGAAGCTAAATGGCCCACTTTGCTACAGGAATGACAAGTAGCGTTCTTGAATTTGCAGTCTTTTGCCTGGTGATTTTTCCATCCACAGTGAAAACACTTGGAAGTGGTTTTATTTTTGTTTCCTCCTGGCTGTCTTATATTGTGTATTTCTGCTAATTCTGTCTTAATTGTGTGAGTGGGTTGGTTTACCTGGTAATTTGTGGTTGCTTCTCTTGATGAAGCCAGTTTCAGAGCCTTTGCAAAGTCAAAATCGGGTTTGGACACATCTTCTTCCATTAGGCGGTTTTTTACATTGCTATCCCTGAGGCCCATGATAAAGATGTCTCGTAGGAGGTTGTCTAACTCGGGACCAAAAGCACAATAACTTGCTAACGTTCGTAGCCTGGCTGAAAATACGGTCACATTTTCGTCCTCTTCCTGCCTGGCCGAATAAAAATCTTGTCTATAACAAAGAATCGCTCGGACAGGTTTAAAATGGTTCGACAGGAGATCTGCAATATTCTTAAAAGTCACGTTCGTCTCTTCAGGATCACTTGGGATGCACAAACTAATCAAAAGATTATACGTACTGTCACCTAATGACGCAAGCAAATAAGCTTTTTTTATGTTTTCATCACTTACGTTATACGTAATAAAAAGGTTTCCCAATCTCTTCAGAAAAAGTGTCCATGATCCGCTTTCATGATTAAACATGACCGAAGGCGGTAGAACTGAAGTGGACATTCTTTTGATGGATTCTTTCTGTTTTTCCTCACTCGTCGCCAGTTTGTTATAGCCTGGGATAAGATCCCGAACGTAAATCGGATAAAATCCGTAAAGGTAAAAATTGAAGACACGTGGTAACCGACAACAACTTTATTCCGAAGAGAAAAAAACCATACAAGGTTACAATAAAAACTTCCTACTATCGATTTATTTTCATATCGATATCTATCTATTTGTTACAATATACAACAGTTAAGATACAAGTTAGGTACATCGGCACGAATTGAACTGTGTCATTTGTTAGTACTTTTCTAGTGCATAAATAGCATTTTGAATGAAAGAGTTGATTAATTTTCCTTTTTTATTTAACACAAAAGACAACCAACACAAACAACAACAAGCTTTCAAGGATTGTTATAGCTTTATTTTTGGTTCTACCAATCGCTACGCAGAGCATTGCGGAAAAATTAACGTTTAACATTCTAAGAAAAGAAGGGTGCGTTCACGATCTTGCTAGACATTTCTCTATTCGAGTTAACACGAGTCGAGTTAACATCTTTTGACCATCGTGAATATCCGTATTATATTTTTTCGTGTCTGTTTGTTAGTAAGGTTGCGGCCTCATAAAAAGTTTCAAACTATGTGAAACACATTTTTCTTCTTAATTCGCCTTCTCCTCTCGAAAGTTTGCGATCCAACCAGCTTGCTCTTCTGTGTTGATTTCAGTCCTACAAACATCCACAGCCAAGTATTCTATCAAGCTCCTAAAGTCCTTCAACCAAGAGTTCTGCTAACTTCCAATGGAGCGGTTCGACAGTATTTTGCTTTCCATTAACATGATCAATTCATAGCATACACCACGCGTCAAATGTCTCATATGCCGTGTTTTTCTTTCTTTTATCGTGAGCAGAATTTCGCTGCGCATGCCCATTCTGCGAAGCACTTCTTTATTTGTCCTCTGGATCCACGGTATGCGTACAATGCACGGGTATACATCTAGCTTTTCTCATTAATTAGGACACTATGATACCTATATGACGTCACTTGTCCCTCTAGCTCTCCATGCTCTTACAGATTTATCTCCATTTTTGTTTTGAGAACGGGATCACCTTGGTTTTGGGAGCATGAACAACCATAGGTTTTACTTATTGTTGAACAATGCAGTTCATCATACCATTGCAGGTCATTTATGTGGTCAGCTATCACTATTGTGTCGTCTGCATATAGTATGTTATTAGGTATGATCCATTGATCAGTATGCCTTTTGTACTTTTCATTTGTTTAAATATAGCTTAAATCTAAGTATAGGCTGAAAAGACAGAGCGATACAATACATCCCTGCTTAGATGTTCCCCTTCTCGACTCCCATGGCGTCTTAGTAAGTAGTTAATAACTATCGTGACTTCGAACCACTCGGACACCAACTTCCCATCTCAACCTACAACCTTTCGAAATTTCCGTCTTTTTGGCCATTTTTCAAATGTCGTATAATCAGGATTCGATTCTCGGCGACAAATGAAATGGCCACGGAAAGCTTGAGTGAAGAGATACTTCCTTTTACTTATTAAATCGATTATATTTCGTGGTCCGATTGACCAAATAACTTTTTTCAATTAAGATTAATTAAAGTATTATATTATTATTGTTCAAATGAAAAAGTTAGTCACGAGCGGGGTTAAAACAAAATAATAAATAAACATAGAAAACTGTACGCAATAAAAAAGAAGGATCAAATAATCAAAAAGTTAATAGGAGTGTAGAAAATAGTCATAAAAAATCGAATATCGTACGAAGATTATGTGATTTGCCTTTTCAAAAACTTGTCTTTAAGAAATAAAAATGTATCTGTTCCAATCACGCCTTCACAAAGTCAGTACCGTCTGCCTATGATGAGGATAATGTTTTTTAAACATGTATAAAGAAAATTATTTATTTATATAGTTGTATTAGTTGTAAAAGCTCGAGAAGTTGATAAAATGTGATTTCTGTTTGTTTTGTATTAATTTTTGTATCTAACAAAACGAAAATTTTTCCGCAAGTCAATTAATAACAAATAAAAAAGTACATAACAAGTTCTTCTCTATTGCCCTGAATAACGCACAATTTTTTTAAATATATAATATCTAAAACAACGTTCTACCCTCAGTCGTCGTTATGCGCTTAAAGAAGCAAGATTTATATTTATCGATAATGAATGTTAACGTTGAATCAGAAGGAAAGCGATTTATTAAGCACAATCCCTTATTACCGAACAGCATTAGGTATTTAATATGTGGTCCTTCCAATTGTGGAAAAACAAATTTAATATTAAATTTGATATATAATTTAGATGGTTTGAAATTTCAAAATATATATCTCTTTAGCAAAACTATTACTCAGCCAAAATATGTGAAAATGAAAAATATTTTCTCCACATTTAATGACATTCGTTTATTTTTGTTTGACAATAATGACTAAGTCCCCCAGGCAAAGGAGGCCCTCTCCGATTCTATCATTATATTTGACGACATTGCTTGTGATAAGCAGGATCGGGTTAGATCCTATTTTTGCATGGGACGTAAGATAGCATAGATTCTTTTTACCGATGCCAAAGTTACACTAGAGTCCCCAAACATTTGATAAGAGATAATGTCAATTTACTTATTGTTTTCAAACAAGATTTGTTAAATATGAGAAGGATATACGAAGATCATGTAAACTCGGATATGTCATTTAAGGATTTTTCCAATATTTGCCGAAAATGCTGGGACGATTACAATTACGGGTTTCTTGTGATTGACAAGAATTCTCCCTTGAAAAACGGGTGTTACCGGAAAGTTTCAATATCTATATATTGCTTTGAACCAAATAATACAAATCATTCATTATTCAATGGATCATTCAAGATGGAAGAAACAATATCTCCTAGTTTGACAAGTGAAATAACGGAAATAAGAAAGAATATTAGGCAAAAATATGACGCTCTTAAATGATTGAAAGAGGAAAATGATGCATATCACAAAGTTAAATATAAACTTATTGTTATCGCCATAAAAGAAGCAAGCACCAATCAACTGATCGAACTAAAGCGAGAAGCGGAAGATGACCATCACTCTAAGAGATCGAAAAGATTATACATACCGACTTCTCTCGAACAGACACTTGTGTCAAATCAAAGTGTCTTGAACGTATTTAGATCCCAGTTCCATAACATAGATTTGGTCCCATCGTATAAGGATGAAGAAGAAACAGTGCCCAAAAGCCCCCAAAATTCACCCGGAAACATTGGAAACACTGACGATGACAATAAGAAACTGCAACCTATGTTTTCTGTATCAGACGTGTTTGAGTTCCCTCCGTGTAACCCTTTACTGGAGCAAGTGAGCGAAGAAGTTAGAACTCCTGAAGGAATAAAAATGGCTTCCGATTTTCTGGAAAAAGTTGATGAGAATTTTTAAATAACGACCAAGGAGGGTTGGATCTAACTTATGGGGTACGTTACGATGGAAAAAAAATTACAATGGGCGACAGTACAGTCACTATTGGAAATAATGAACTATAGATTGGTGAAGAAAGATATATCGCTACACCGGGACTCATGGAATTGATATTCATGAAAAATCCGAATTTGACGCTTGTGGATGCTGACGATAGAAAACATTATAAAAAAATTCTAACACATACAAACGTCGATAGAAAACGTTACAGTAGTAGCGGAGTTATAAATGCCATCCGTTCCCATCCGAAATCCATGCAAGCGAGATGTCGGCTTTCGACCCCCTAATATCACATACAGGTTAAAATTATGGAATTTATTTTATTTAACACTACGTTAGATATTCTTTAATGTAAAACAAAAGCCATTTATTAAAATTATTAGTGACAATTTTAAAAGAGTTGAAAAATTCAGCCAGATTTGATGAAATGCACATGTTCATGGGTTTGTGTATAGAGGGAGCGACGAGCGCTTCTGTAAGAGGAGTAGGGATTGGTTGATAAAGGAGGGGCTGTGACGAAATAAACATATATGATCATGCGTGTCTCCCACGACTCACTCTATCCACGACTTTCGAAGTGTGTACATACACACACACGTATTGGTAAGTTTTAACTTATTATCAATTTACAACGGTATAGTTAATAATATTTTTCTATAAATATCTTATTGTTCATAGAAAAAAACAACAATATAAATAAAAAAACAAGATGCCTTCCTCTCTTGATTCATATTTGTCGATAATTGCTAAAAAAGACAACAACATTTTTAAAATTTCACAATTGCGAATTGGAATTGAGTACGAGATCGAAAAATTCCAACGAATAAACACCAAATACAGTAATACCGTCATAGCACACATAGAATACATCGGACCTTATTCACTGGATGAAGAGTATCCGAGAAAAATTTTTCTCCCCAGCAGGATCATCGAAGCCCTCACAGATGTCATGATCGAAGAATACGAACAATCACACCGAAAGATTAATATAATATACAATGGGTTTGAAAATAAAAGATATAATATAGATTTTGTTAGATAAATGTTAATTTTGTTATGTTGTAATTGATTAAATACAAATGTGTTATTTGTTAATTTAAATATATTTTATTTATTTCTATGTACCTATAGACATACAATGATAAGCAAATTACGAAATATCCCACTCATATCAAAATGGAAAAAAAATATATATACTGAACATATTTAAAAACAAGTTATTATGAGATAAGAACAAATCAATGAAACCAGCAACTGCATGTCGATAGTGACGTCAGAAGAGCAGGCAATTTTGACACAGCTGCACCCACAAATGCATTGATTATATCTTTACCGGCAACCGTATGAGCCACCAGGTGCTCTAGTGAACCCCGTCAGATTCCTTGAGTGTGGTGTGAGGCGGTCCCAGAACCGGCGTTTTTCCTCTATTTGGTTACGTCAGTAGGTAAAAAATAAGTGTGGAAACAACCCTCGTCACACCCCATGGTGAATTAAAAAATAAAGTTACGTCACTAGGTATAAAATAATGGTGGAAACAACCCTCATCAAACCCCTTGGTGAATTTAAAAAAAGTAAGTCACTATGTATAGAATAAGGGTGGAAACAACCCTCGTCAAACCCCATGGTAAATTTAAAAAAAGTTACGTCACAATGTAAAAAATAAG